AAACTTTTGAGTCAATGATCTCTCATCGCCATTGGATGGAAAGACTTTACTGTGGTTGGCATGACTTCTTATTGCTTATCATTGTTGACTAAGTTTCATTTCTTTTTGGCTTTAGGGACTGGTATAATCTAGAAAAGTCTAAGCGAGTGAAGGCCTTTCGCTGTGGAGAATATAATGCATGTATTGAGAAAGCAAAGGCTTCAGCAGCAAATTCTAGCAAGAAGGCAGTGAAATATGCTCGAAGAGAAGATGCTATTCTCCATGCTCTTGAGATTGAGAGTGCACGTTTAGGCAAGGATCATCCAGATTATTTCTCTAGAAAAGATAATTCTGGTGGTGATAAGGGTTGTTCAGTCAAGGAGTCACCTAACATGTCACATTCTGGAAAAGAAAATAAGGATGGAATGAGTGGGTCTGAGGATGACTCAAATTCAGCTCCTGAATTATCACAGTCTGGCATATCCTTTGAAGAGTCGAATATTATTAATAGTACTAAGGGGCGCTCTATGATGAGAAAGAGAAGAAAAACCCCAAATGATTCAGAGGATGACGGAGCAGAAGGAATCAAACGAATGAAAGGACTTGAGGATTTAGGCATGGGTGTAGGATCAAAAAGAAAAGTCCAGGGGTTGCACGAGTCTGTTCAACAAGAGAATGCTTCATTCTGTGGACCAAACACTAGCAACTGCCTGTCTAATGGAGGTCCCATAAATGGTAGCAGAAACCATTCATCATTGCTGAAAAGGAAGAGATCTCAAGTGGCAAATGTTCATGAAATCCTGAAAAGGAAAAATCGCCGGAGACCATTAACCAAGGTTTTGGAGAGTACAGCTATGGTGCCAGTTCCAGTTGCTTGTTATGAACTTCCAAGCTCAAGTACTTCACCCCCTGACAGTAAGGTTTCAGGAATGGATTCTAATGAATCACGGAAAAGTATTTCTGCAGTAATCAACAACAACAACAATCATAACAACTCGGATAGTACTGGAATTTCATGTGAGAATGGTGTCTCGTTAAATGTTTCAGAACTTGCTGCTGATGCTTCTCAAACTAATAATAAGACAAAAGACAGTGAAATTTCGAGCATACCAGAGTTGGCTGGGAATGGATCTTCTGACAGGCTATTTGATGTGCCATTTCTTGGAGATGATAAACCATCTGCGGGTATTATTGATTATACATTTATAAACTATAGCATTTCTTATTGTTAATGCATTTTCTGCATAACATGTCCTGCTGCTTTTCAAATTGTTGTTGTAATGATTTTGCTTTTATTTGGTGTATGTTGCTTTTGGTTGGGCGGATTATGGATCGAGTTAGATTATTTGTTATTTCATGAATTTTTATTGTTCCGTCTGCATGATGTTGGTTTTGTGTGGATCCTTTGCAATATTCCTGCACGCATTTAGTTTTTGTTGTGATGAGTGCTGTATTGCTTTGATCATTGTTGGTCCTTGATAAGATTTTTATATATATCTTTTGAAAACTACATAAAACATGTCATGTTTGTAGTAGTGTGCCATGAAAATGCATACATAGAGACAGACACGTGCACTTGAGTGTGCTTCCGATTATGAACTTTTGGAGCAACTGTTTGCCAACTGGTCTAGTTATTCAAAATTTTTTGTTCACCAATCATATTAGCTGGACTCAAGCTTGTTTGGCTCTTTAGGCCTTCTAAATAGCCATAAGTAATTAACTACATGCCATTGCTAATAGTTTGGTGGCTTGAGGATAGATTTCCTACCTTGACACAAAGTTGATGATAAAAGAAACAACTATGTACGAGTAGCCAAACCAGAAGTCCATTCTGTCTAAATCAGTGTTGTTAAAGTTACAAGGTGCACTATTGTGTTAGAACCTTTATATTGCCCTATCAAAATGTGCTTTCAGAAAGCCAAGTGCATATGTTTTTCTAGTATGCAACTTGTTCTGGGTTAAGAAGTGAATTGGACCAATCTCGGTGATCTGTTGGATATCTAATTATGGTGTGTTTTTGATGACTTGGATGACATTTTGAACTGGCACTGCTATTTAGTGATAAGGTTGAACATTAGCTAAATTACACTTTTTATGTGTTGGTGATATAAGGACGTGATGAATTCTCTAACCCTACAAATTTTGAGTCAGTGTGTGAGTGGACCGGAAGTTAAACACATTGGTACTTCTGTTATCACACAATAAAGAGCTGAACTGAAAACTGCATATTACTAGGGGCATAATTTGTACGGATAACATGAATTTGGTTGCTAGAAGTCCCTGTTGAATCGCAATTTGCCTGGAGACTTAACTTTAATTACAATGAAGACGCGAGATTCCCTTTGTTTAAGAATTTTTTTCCCTTATTTCATGCACTTTTTCTACCAGATTTTTTTTGGGTACAACTGATTCGTTTGAAATAAGGCTCGTTTATAGTACCTGATCTGCTTCCTTTCTCACGTGAAGATGTTTAAGTGCATGGTTTAATTTTATATTTTGTGTAAGAAGTTATTCCTTATGTGATTGTTTCATTTATGGATTTTTGTTGCAAAAACCTCCAGTTTGTGATGACTCAATGTGTATGCAGTATCTCCCCGAACCTGATTCCTTTATCTTTTACTCTTCTGTATTTTCCGCTATACAATATATTTTTTCCTCTATGGAGAGTTGGAGACTGATAGATCATTTTGGTTCTGACAGATTTTTCTCCTATATTTGTATCTTGTTCATCTGAGACGCCTGAGCTTGATATGGGAGGACAAGCTGAAGTTAAGGGGCATAATGAGTCTGGTTATAACAGATCAGTGGATGTTCGGACTAGTATTAGCCAGAAGATAGAGAAAGGTGCATCAGAGTGGCAGTTGAAGGGAAAGAGGAAATCGAGACAAATAAGTGAAAAACAGAAACAGGACCCTAGAAAATATGCTGACAAGGTTGATGAACCAAATGCTTATATTGCAGGTATGGATTACTTGGATGGATTTTCTCAGGGCTCTGATCAGAAAGTTGACTGCAATGCTGTTGAAGATCAGCTTGATGGGTTCAGGGACCGGAAGTCTCGGCAGCGTCGTGTGAGAGGGTCAATAATGGAGGCAAAAATACTCCCTGATGGTTCCGTGAACCCTCAGAGGTCTCTTCCATACCGTCAGTCCCGCTATACTGTAAATCCCAGATATCAGACAATAGATTTCCCTGGAAAAACTTATTCTGCGGAATCATCATTATATGAGATTAAGATTGATGTGAAAGCACACTCTCAGCCGCAGCATGTTCCATTAGTTTCCCTCATGAGTAAACTGAATGGTAAAGCCATAAGAGGTCACCCTCTTCCAGTTGAGGCTTTGAACGATGATTACTCTGACAATCCGAGTCAAGAAGCTGATATGGAGTGCACTAAACCTGACCATTCATTGAAGCAAAATTCAGGTGGACGAGTTCCTAGAAAGCATATAAAAGTGCAATCGCAATTCGCACCTCGTAAATCAAAAAAGGCAAAGAAATCTGGTTTATTGTCTAAGAAGACTCGAAGATTGTCTTCATTGACTGGTCAGAAGCTAGGTGTGGCCGGCAGGAAACTGGTAGTGGAGAATCCCAAAGGTCCTGTAATAGCTTGCGTCCCTCTAAAGTTAGTCTTCAGCAGGATAAATGAAGCATTGAATGGCTCAGCAAGGCCATCGCGCCGATCTTTAACATCAAGCAATTCATGAGCAAGCGATCTAAACCTGCAGCTGGTAGGTGGCCTTTTATATCTTAGAACCCACAGAACAAAAGACATGGGGTTGTAGTAGAATGAAACTGTTAAAAGACTCTTAAGAATGATGAAGAACAAGTCTTCCCTGGCTTTGTATATATGAAAATGTAACACTAGTTGAATTGTAAAGGGGGCATTAGGTAATATCCATGACTTAGTGTTTTTCTTTTTCATGAATTCAGGTTGATTTAGGGTTAAATACCTAAATTTTGGCAATTGTACATTTTCCTCTTTGGCTTTGGGACATTGATTTGGTAATGTATTCCAATCCTCAAAATCCTATTTCTTTTCACTTCTGTTTTTGGAAATTTTGATGTTTTCTTTTTTCTTGCTTCTTCCATTTTTTCTTCTTTGTTCTATTCTAAGTTCATGCAGATCTTGATAGTATACATGAAAGAATTTGATGTTTATTTTTTAAAATATTATATCATAAATTTTTTAAAATTACGGAAGAATGATTAAATTTATTAAATTATCCCGTTAAATTTTATTGAACAATTATAAAATAATCATTTATTATAACATTATAATGCTTGTTTTATGATAATTGATAAATTCAATAATAATTTTATAATTTTTAAAAATTTAATATTCAAAATGATCATCTATGTATAATCAATTACTTCCAGTGTACGTTACCCAATATAATAAATCCAAGTTTCCAAAAGTAACATGACTCACACTAGGGTGTAAACGAGCCGAGTCGAGCTTGAGTATTGCTGAGGTCGACTTGACTCGAAAATTTTGAAATGAAACTTGACTCGACTCGAAAATTCATGAGCTTAAAATTTTTAAGCTCGACTCGAACTCGAAATCCTAAATTGAAGCTCGTGAGCAGCTCGAAAAGGCTCGAAATGAAAAAAAAATTCTTAGACTTAACTCGATTGAAGACTCAAACTCAAACATGAACCTTAAATACAAGAAATCTTACTATATTTTTTAATAAAAAAATCAATACATAAATATTAATATTATTAATAATTTATTTCTAAAAAAATAAAATTTTAATATATTATATTTTCGAGCTGCTTACAAGCTTTTCGATTCGAATATCGAGTAGCTCGTTTCGGTTCGTTAAGAACTCGAGTCGAGCTTGAACTCGAGTCGAGTCCATTCGATCCGAGTATTTATCGAGCCTTAATCTAGTCAAACTTAAATAGCTCGCGATCTATCTTGTCTCATTTACAGTCCTAACTCACAACAAGAAAAGCCCAAAACTCATCTTACCCTGAAAGCCCTAAAAAGGATTCCATAAATTTGATAGGTTCCTTGCATTCTCACTGCGGCTCCCGTCTTACGATCGTAAACCCTAAAAACCAACAGGTTCGTTTTCTGTTATTATTTTGGTGTTAATAGTTCGTCCTTCATTTTGTTTGATTTTTTCGACTGTTTTAAATCTTACAAACGGCGTTACATTCTGTGGTGTATCTTCTACAGAGAGGTGCAGAGAAAATGGAGACAGTTCCAGGACAGTTGATTTGGGAGGTGGTGAAGAAAAACAACTGTTTTTTGGTGAAGCAGTTCGGAAGAGGAACTGCTGGCGTTCGGTTCAGCAAAGAGCCCAACAATCTCTACAATCTCAACTCCTACAAACATTCTGGTATCGTTTTGATCCAAAAGTTCTCTTGTTTTCCGTTCTTGAGGTCGATTCGATGATATTGATCTTTGGATTGTTGCTAAAGACATGATATTGTTGAGTAAAAGTGAAACGAAAATTATGTTATATGCACATTCAAATAATTTGTATTATTGTATATAAATTTATCACTTGTACAAGTTATGATGTGGAGTTTGTGTTATATACATTGTTTAATCCCTGAGCTTTACTGTATCCTTGAACATCTAAATACATTTTTTGGGTTTTAAATTACTTGTTCATTGCTGGATCTGTGTAATCGTAGGATTGGCAAACAAGAAAACTGTCACCATTCAGCAAGGTGGCAAAGATCAGTCGGTGCTGCTAGCGACCACCAAGACCAAGAAGCAGAACAAACCGTCGACTTTGCTTCACAAATCGGTCATGAAAAAGGAGTTCCCAAGGATGGTTAAGGCAGTCAAAACCCAGGTATATGGGAAGAGCCTTTTTGAAGTTTTATATTGCAGTGATGAAGGAGGATCCATTTGTTGGATTCTTCTGTGAAATGTACTTGTTACGCTTGGCTTCTGAAGCTTCCTTAGTTCAAACCGCGCTTGTTCGATGAAAAGAATTGTAGAATTAACTTTGAAAATCTGTGTATGCTATTATGAGATTGAATTCACTTGCTTTCACTTATGTTCAAAATTTATGTTCTTGCAGTTTATCTTACCTAGTCTTTGTGACATCGTTTCTATGTTCCAAATCATTGCAGGTGACAGACAACTACTACAGGCCGGATTTAACCAAAGCAGCCCTTGCAAGACTGAGTTCTGTGCATAGGAGTCTGAAAGTTGCCAAGTCTGGTGTCAAGAAGAGGAACAGGCAAGCATTGAAGATCCATTGCAGGAAGTAAGCTCATATTATGCCGCGATTTTGTTGTTCTGGGTATCTCTTTTTAGAACCAAAATTTGAAATTACCTTGTTGTAAATGTTGGCTGTGGCTGGTGTGGTGGATTTCATTTCATATCTTAGATTATGAAGCAGAGATTGATGCCTCCTTGCTGGTTTGTTTTCTGAATCATATAACATGGTAAAATTTTGATAATTTTCCTCTGGTGAATTCTTTAATTGAACTCCATTTACCTTTTCAACAGGTTTTCATTTGGTTTACCGATTCATATTAATATTATCTGATACATGATTAAGAATATTATATTATTTTAATTAATTCGGTTGATAAGAATGTAAGATTAGAAGTCTTTAATTGAAGGAATATAAGATTATATGAAAGTAAAATTTATCAAATCATCTTTATAATATGTTTTCTTTTAACAAGTTCAACTTTCCATATTAAATTAAAAGTTTTTCTATGAATCCATAAAATTATTTTTATTATATTTTATATTTTATAATATTATGTATTTTATTATAATATAATATTAAATTGACTTAAACGATTAAAAATAATTATTTAAATTATTTTAGAAAAAAGGTTTCCCTGCTGGGAAACCAGATTCACTTGGAAAATTTACTTAATTTAATTGCTTTTCTTCTTTAAACAACCCTTTAATATCCGTTTGTTGGATAATTGACTTCTTAATTAATCAATTATATTAATATATATATTTTAGGTTCTTATAAGCTATCCATTGTTAAAAGAAAGTTTTTAAATAGGGATTCAAATTAAGGCCGTGGTCGTGTATTCGGAAGGCACCGCTACCTCTATATCGCGAGCATAGCGGGGCGCTATTGTGGTGATTATGGGTGTCACAGGCAAATAATAGTATTTTCGGAGGGTACCGTTACCACTATATCGCGGGATCTATTACGGTCACAGACCACTGTTTAAATCCATGTTCTTAAACACTACCGAACAGCAACTTGGGAACCACGTACATTATTTTCAATATCTAAGAAACTCGATCAACCTCAGTCATCAAAATCCAATTTCATTAAGAATTTGTATTTATTTTCTTGTGTTTTTTCAAAGTTAATTACCATGCCAGCCAAAATTTCAACTCTTGCAAGTTATTATTTCCCGCATTAATTATTCAACCATATTTTCCATCATTAAGTGGTCTTATGTACTATGTAATGTTGTTCTCTCTAAAGGATTCGAGTTTGAGTAATTGCATATCCAGGATACTAAACACGATTTTATTATGAAGGTGGACCAAATTTTCACAGGAATCTGTCTGCAACTGCCAGAATGTTGAAAAGTTCAAAAAGGAAAACTTTTGCTGCATGTCTTGAAGTACTGACCTTACTTATCAAAGTGAAATACCCCAACCCTTATAAACGCTTCACCAATGGCTGCAAACCAATCATTTCAACTCCAAAATTCTTCTTTGGCCCCCATAGAACATACATAAATCATGTCTGTCAAGAAATCAGTTGCTTTCCGTAATGACTACGATGAATCCGTCAAGGGCAATGTTAGCAATAAGAACACGAAGCGCAGAGGATTTAACCAGTGTTTCTCCTTCAAGGAGGTTCCGGTTGAGTCAGTATCCTCGTTAAAAGACCTCGATTCGAAAAAGCTCAAGGCTGAAATCAAGAGATGGGCTAAGGCAGTGGTGGCTTACGCTCATCAAGTTAGTGGTAAGTGTCGGGAGCTCCAGGACAAGTGACCGACGACATGGGAGCTTTCATTACATGTCATAGCTATGGTTAGTTGAAGGCTGAAGAATTGTACATCTCAGATTATGAGAATTGGCTGATGATATTTTGAGTTCTTAAATATTTCGTTTCTTTTGTTGAAATTCATTGAGAATTTGATTCTGCCACAAAAAAAAAATAGTTTACCTTTGATGATTGATGGAAACGTCGCCGTTGTTGATGTTTGTTTCGAAAGGCGATCAGATACCAACCAGTGGTTTCTGCATTAATCTGATTTGTTTGTTCCATCAGATATCTTTTTGGGAATATATCCACCAAATGCCATGTCTCCCCCAGAAATGGTCCTCGAAAGCTGTTTAGAACACATGCCTTGCGCTTGTGTCGCATTCTTCATCCGCTTCACTCTCACCGGAGCAGGTTCATGACATGAAAAAAGAGGTCAGTGCTTCGTGTAGTCTCCTACTTGTTCCAATTAATACGTGCTAGACTAAGAGGAACAAAGCGGGAGAACCCGAATTCATGTAACAGCAATTACAGTTAAAAGAAAGGAGAGAGATGTAGCAGCTTACTTCACAATATCAGATTTGGTGACCTCATAGAGATGAGCATGACTGCATAAGCCAACTCAAATGGCAAATGACACTCAAAATAACCATAAAATCATTTCTGAATCGTCTGAGATAACCAAACCATTCATATCTTTGCAATTCTTCTTTCTCTTTCGTTTTACCTGTTCCTGAATCTTTTATAAGTTCCATGGGAAGGAGGCTCAAGGCAGTTCCACTCCCTCCCTCAGAACTTGTATCCATGGCTTGTGCCGACAGAAACATTAAGATACTGAAGGAGAGAAGAAGTAAATAAGAAAAGCTGAAGAAACAAGCCTCATATTTAGAAAGGTGGCCTTCTATGTATGTGAAATCAGTTTACCTGGCTGAAACTTCAGAGTTTTTACGTTTACAGAACTGGAAAAACAACACATCCCACAGTACTATGCTTACGTTTCAAGAAATCACTTTTATTTTTGAAGATTACATTAATCATACGAAAATATTTATAGAAAAAATATAAATTTAATTTTGCGGCTTCTAAAATGTGAAATCTTTTATTTATTTAAATTAATTTATAATTAAATCAAATATCATGAATTAATAAAATATTAATTTTTATAATTAAAGTTATAAAAAGTAAAAACACGATAATATAGACATTTATATCATATCATATCACATCACATCTATATTATCTTTAAGTTAATAGTTAAATTTAATGATGAATTATTAAAACATAAAAAAAGTAATATTAGATATGATTTAAAATATATATAATTGAGAGACTAAAACAGAAACTTGAGAATAAGTGGGTGACTAATTAAGTAGTTTACCCTATTTTTTTTTTTGGTAATTTGAATTTTGGAGGCCCAAAAGGAGTATGTAAAGTTGGGTCCACTCTTAGGCTGCACTTTCACTTTCGTCCCGTTTTCCTTGAAAAAAATATAATCGAAGGCAAGAATCAAAAAACACAGTCAAAACGCGATCAATACACACAAAATCCCCAAAATTCCTTTAAATACCTCTCAAAATCAAAATTTCTCTGAAATCATTCAGAAAAATCTGGCCATGGGAAATACCGAGAAGCTGTTGAACCAGATCATGGACCTCAAATTCACCTCCAAATCACTGCAACGCCAGGCGAAGAAGTGCGAGAAGGAAGAGAAATCCGAGAAATTGAAGGTGAAGAAGGCGATCGAGAAAGGTAACATGGACGGTGCTCGGATCTACGCAGAGAATGCCATCCGTAAGCGCACCGAGCAGATGAACTACCTGCGTCTCGCCTCCCGACTCGATGCTGTAGTCGCCAGGCTCGATACCCAGGCTAAGATGACCACAATTAACAAGTCCATGGGTAATATCGTCAAGTCTCTTGAATCTTCCTTAGCCACCGGTAATTTCTCCCTTAAAAGTTTCACTTTTTAATTCTTGATTTTTGTAGGGGCGGGGAGATTTTAGGGTTTATTGTGGAGATATTCATATTAGCCTTTCTCTCAATAGTTTTTTAATTTCTACACTTAATTAGTTTTGATGTGAATATGGTCAAATTTTAGGGTTTTTTTGTATGCTGCAGGCAATTTGCAGAAAATGTCAGAGACAATGGATAAATTCGAGAAGCAGTTTGTGAATATGGAGGTCCAGGCAGAGTTTATGGATAGTGCTATGGCTGGCTCTACTTCATTGTCCACACCCGAGGGTGAAGTCAACAGCTTGATGCAGCAAGTGGCTGATGATTACGGGTTGGAGGTTTCTGTTGGGTTGCCACAGCCTGCCGCCCATGCCGTGCCGACCAAGACGCAGGAGAAGGTTGACGAGGACGATTTGTCAAGGCGACTTGCTGAGCTTAAAGCTAGAGGTTAAAAAAATGGTGGAATCCATTTGAATGAACTTGTGATAAATTGTAAGACTGATATTTAGGATTATGATTTATGCTTAAAGATCTTGTTGTATTTGAATATAGTACTGAATTGGGTTCCTCTTTCCATTGTTACATGTTGTTCTTGTTTCATATAATTGATCTGGTGCCTTTAGTGTGTATATGGGATGATTTGATCTCTGTGAATGCATTGATAGGTAGGCTGCCAGGTTTAGGTTGGTATATATACTTGTTATTGTGGGGGTTGAGAAATGGTTCAATCATTTATTATTCATCAACTGTGTGGATTAGGTTTATCAATAAAAAAAAGTGTATGGATTAGGTAAATGCTTAATGCTGTTGAACATGATCATTTTGGATCATCAACTTGTATGGTTGAACAAATCAATTAGATCAAGGGTTAGTCTAACATTGTTTGTTGCAGGTGAAAAGTGCTTTTGAGATACTATGAACATTAGCTTGGTTTGGTTTAGAAAGGACTGGTGCTTGCTGCTGTAATCTTCATGATGAACTGCTTCTGTATGCATTTAAGGGAAGGGGCTTTTTGAAAATCCTCCTAGTCTAGACAGGTTTTTGAGACGCTACTGGTACGACTTTGGAATCCTTTCTGCACCTGAAAGAGTTTAGGAAACTGAACACGAGACAGACAGAACCGATTGAATCTAGATACCATCCATTTCTCCCGTTAAACCCTGCAATTCATCCTCCCTTGAAGGAGTAAGAGAAGGGTGTTCCTTCTTTGACTCCATACGGACTGAACTTCTTCGGTTACTCTTAAACATTACCACCGTAAACCACAGGACAGTAATGACCAGTTAAACTGATCAAGAATTCAGCTGAGAACTTTAGCTTAATCTACACAGCAATTAAATAGATCAAAAACAATGTATTGAGTGTGATTATAATGATTATAACACGTAAAGATAAAATGTTCTTGTAACCTCAGATGTCTTGCTTCCTCCTACACTGCTGTAACAGGCTTACCGTTCTTATCATAAATCACTTCGATCGAGTCGATGCGATGCAACTATCATAAACAAGTGTGTTTTCTCTCACCCCATGGTAAATCGCATCGTCCCAAGCCGTTCCACCATTTCCCCCCGCGGTCCAACTAGAGATGCACATAGCCGGATTTAAATCCGATCCGGATCGGATAAAAACCGATCCGGTTTTTTCACTAAGCCAAAAAATCGGTTTATAAAAAAATCGGTTCGGATCATAATCGGTTTGGAGGGCCGGATGATGTAACTGGTTTCGGTTTGAAAAAAACCGATTTTTAATCTAGTAAAAAATCCGGTCATCCAATTTTTTAAACCTCAGACCGGATTTTTTTCCGGATAAAAAATTAGTTTTTTATCCGGTAAAAAATCCGGTCGTCCAATTTTTTCCCAACCGGTTATACTATCCGGTTTTAAAATATCCGATTCGGTTTAAAAAAATCAGTTTTTCCCAAATTCAGTTTCAGATATTTTTTTACGTAAAATCGAATATTTGAATTTTTTGTGCACCTCTAGGTCTATCATCACACATTTTTTTTCTTACTGCTCGAATCATCCTTGCCGCCTTCCTACACATGGAAGTGCCACATGCAAGTTAACTACATGTGCATTATCTAATAAATCAATAAAATTATTAACTAGCAAAGTGGACGACAGTCATGGAGGAGGTGATTGGGTCGTGCTGTAGCGATCTGTCTCGTATGGTTATTTATAGTGTTCTGGGCTTGACTTTTACTGAGTTGTCATGTCATTGACCCTGATTAGTCGCCGTGCAATTGTCATATGGTTGGTTCTAATTGATTGTCTCGAGTGGTGGCGTGATTAACGCTGATTGATTGTCCAGAGTAGTTATGTCCTTCGCTCTGATTGGTTGCCTTGGGGGTGATAGGTTAGGCTAAGATGATGAGCTTATGATTGTTGTTGGTTGTATAAAGGGTGTATCTGTACAAGTAGCAGATGATTAATGTATGATCGTTCGCGTGGTAGAAAGTTGGTGCACATCCTCATGTTCTTTGGGTGGTAATGGACATAGATTCACGAGTTTATTGATTTTCAGGTACAGATTCACGGGTCCAGTTCGCATATAGTAACAAAAATATAGAAGAAAATAAGTTTTACCATTTTTTTCTCACCATATGAACCAGCAGAAGTTGGAATACCAGATGTTGAATTAGGATTAAACTGACGTTTGGCCTTTGACCTTTGCTATAAACAAAGCTTTGGTTTATACAAAGGAATGAAAGAAGTGCTAATATAGATGGAAAATGTAATCAGATGCTATTCCCAAGCCCCTTAGAAGGTATTCTTGAGGTGACACGTTTTTTCATTAAAAGTATGATCTTTTGATAAATAATTTTAAAAAATATTATCTTTAGGGTACGTTTGGTTAACAGAATGAAAGATTACCAGTGGGAATAAAAGATTATCAGGAAATAGGATTACTGAAAATGTTGTATTTTGTGTTTGGTTGGTTTAGTAGGAATGTAAGATTACCATGTTTGGTTAAAGGAATAAAAGATTATTGAAATGTATATTTGACCAAATTGTCCTTATTATATATTTGTATAATATTACAAATTGTAAAATATTTATATATTTCTTTAAAAAATTAAATTCATAATATTTATATATATTTTTTACAAAATTAAAAATATAAAAAATGTTTAATGAAAGGGTAAAAAAAATTTAATCTTTGAACTTCATATAAAATTTTAATTATAATTTTTTTTTGTAAATCTAAAATAATTTAAGGATAAATTTGTAATTTAACCTTCTTAGAATTTTTATTATTCAATGACAGAAGAAGAATATTTTTGAAAAAAATAAAAATTTAAGGGCATTTTAGTCCAAAACGACGGTAACGTTACAATACCTAAGGGAAGGGAGGTAATGACATTCCCGGTAATATACCCAAAAAAATCTACTATTGGTAATAAAACATTACCGGGAATGAAATTTTCGGCCAACCAAACATGGTAATGTGGGAATCCCACAATCCTTGAACTAAACACCCCTTAAAGTAATATATATATATATATAATTAAATTAACCTTAAATTTAAATATTTTTAATATGAACTTATAATAATCTTATTTTTATTACGTTAGCAATTTAAATTTATTTTAATATGAAATAAATATAAAATAACATATTTTTATTTTGCACGTTTTCCAACATGTTTATGTAGTTTGGACTGTTTGGTGATAGTATGTTGTCTGACTATTAGGTCCTTATAATTTCAGCCAAACACATCATGTAACTATCGGTATAGATCAATGATAGAGACATATGATCCAAATAATCAGTCAAAAGATTATACTTTATTTTTGTTGTTGAAATCATTAGAAGTTAGTTTTAATCTGCAAGCTGATTTATTTTTAATTATATTTCAACTGGGTCATATTTGCTATAAGCAAACGTTTTATATTTTAAATATTTAATATATGATAATATTTGAAGTACAAGAAGGTTTGTACAAGTCTTTATTAATTTTTTTAAATAATCTGAAGTAATTATAAAGTATTTTCTGTTTAATTTTTTTAAACTATCGATAACGTATTCCTACTCCACATACGTAACTACTCGAACTCAGATTATCCAGGAAAAACAACGGTCCATTTAACTAGTAAGACCACTTGATGAATCAAAATCTTTATTAATTTTGCGTTAACTTTATGTTGTTTCTTTGAATATTTATCTAAAATTATGGTTTTGTTTTTTTAAAAAGATTACAAGTATGTTAAAAATAAAATATAATAGTATATATTTATTATTTAAAAAATAAAATTTCATTTTTTTCTAATAAAGTAGACATTTGATTATCTTTTGTCATTTTAAAAATATTTTTTGAGGTTTTAAAACTAAATTAACGATCCATTAACCATAATATCAATCACAATAAAAAATCTGAAATTAATACATATTTTACTGACCATGAGACTTTGATTATGTTAATAGGATTATAATTCTAAACTTTTAAATATTTAAATTCAAATTTTATTGTGTACAATTTCATATCAACTGAGTTGATTCAAGTAGTAAACAAAATAATATCGTTTAAATAAATATTGAGTTTGAAACATTGTATACGTAAAAAATCTCCATTAATAAGTTCTCTCATTAAAATTAAATGTATGACACTGATCGGTTTAAATTAAAAACGAAAAAACTTTGAAAAATTGAAAGAAAAAAATTATACGTATAATTATACCCCCTAAAGTTCTTAAAAAAGATTGATTTTGCTTAACATCAATATCCAATGCATAATTTACATGAACAATGGCGCATCTTCTCTCAAATTTGAAGTGAACTTTTCTTTAAAGAAACTTGCTTCTTTTTCTACCGTCTTCCTGCTACGTATTACAGCCGCCAGAAATGTCATAAATAGTTAAGATAATTCAGCACGTGTAGCAGCTGTGGCCTGTGATAATTACAGCTATCTTTCTAAAAAGCCAGCTACGGCTTTTTATAACGAAAGACAACTCAAAGCCACTGTTTTCAGTGGCGAGCATCCATTTGGACATTTCCAAACACTATCTTCAATCATTTGTTTTTAACAAAAGCCATCAAATAACCCAACTCTTGTTCTTCACCCACCGATTTTCCTTTCTGTCCCCAAAATCAAGCTTTGATTTATGGAAACAGGCATGGGGTTCACCAAGTTGGTCTCTTTTGTTCTCATACTTCATCATCTCCTTAATCCAACAGTTGTTTCATCATCTTCTCTGAGCTCGTCAAATGAGTTGTCTGAAATCCCCAACAAGTTTCTGGATTTCGCTAAAGAAAAGGAGCTTGTTGATTGGATGGTGGGAATCAGGAGGAAAATACATGAGAATCCTGAATTGGGATTTGAGGAATTCGAGACTAGTAAGTTGATTAGATCAGAATTGGATAAACTGGGTATTCCTTACAATTACCCCGTTTCAATTACTGGTGTTGTCGGCTTTGTTGGGACTGGTAAACCACCTTTTGTTGCCATAAGGGCAGACATGGATGCTCTCCCTATTCAGGTTTGAAAATTTCCGTATCATTTGTGCCGGGTTTTAGTATAGATATCAGATTTTAGGAAATATTCGTGGACGAAGATAAGGCTGAACTACGTTAAAATTCACCTCTTATGCGTGATCTTTCTATGTTGATATCGTTTTGAACTTTTGATTATTTTGTGCTCACAAGTTCCTTATTGTTGAAATCTGTAGGAAGAGGTGAATTGGGAGCACAAGAGTAAAATTCCTGGAAAGATGCATGCTTGTGGGCATGATGCTCATGTTTCAATGGTTCTTGGTGCTGCTAAAATATTAAAAGAGCATGTTGAGGATTTGAAGGTTTTCCTCTCAAACTTCATGTTTAATCACTTGTTTTATGATTTAATCATTGCTCTCCTGTTCTTGATTGTTAATTTGTTTATCAGAATGTTGGGAAATAAACGAGTAAACAAGTAATTTCCTATAATCAGATTAGTGAGAATGCGAAATAAAAGCGGAAAAATAATACCCGAAATTGATAACGGAGTTCAGCCAATTTTGCTTACGTCTCCGGACTGCTGCAGATTTTTTACTAAGAGAGAAATTTTACAGGTGTTTACAAAACACTCACTACTCACAAGAAAACTCTCTAGTATTGGGAGAAAGAAATGATTTTTGAGATTTTAGGATGATTTTGAAGCTAAATGAGCTAGGGTATTTATAGTTGAAACTTAGGGACTAATCTTTGTAAATACCCTAAAGTTCAATTATTCAATTTTGTAATTAACCCTATTACAAAATAATAAAAAAATAAGCAGCCCCCTCCCAAATTCAAAGCAGCAGCAAATTCAAGCAGCCGGCTGCTGCTTTGAATTTCAACAATCTCCCACTTGAAGACTGATTTTAATCTGTCTTCACACCTCGATCAATGCAGCAGCTTGTCTAGTCTTGTTACTTTAGCATGCCAACTGAAGTTGAACACAACTTCAGTTTGTCTGTGGTCACCATCTTTGTCAACATGTCTGTCGGATTTTGAGCTCCACTAATCTTTTCAAGTTTCAAAATCACATCTTCCAGAAGAGACCGGATAAAATGATATCGCAATTGTATGTGCTTCGTCCTGGAATGAAAAGACGGATTCTTCGCTATATGGATAGCACTTTGACTGTCGCAATACAATATATTGTTTTCTTGTTTCTTGCCTAACTCTTTCAAGAAACTTTGGAGCCAAACCATCTCCTTGCTGGCTTCCGTAACAGTGACATATTCTGCTTCAGTTGTGGAGAGAGCAACTATCTTCTGTAGTTGAGAAACCTAACTCACTGCAGTTCCTCCTAGAGTATAGACATACCCTGTAGTGTTTCTTCTGATGTCAACATTTCCGACTAAGTCAGCATCTACATAGCCTGTCAGTATCGTATCTCTACCTTTGAAATAAAGTGCTTTGTTTGTAGTACCCCGCAAATATCTGAGGATCCATTTGATAGCTTCCCAGTGTACCTTGCCTGAATTATTCATGTACCTGCTAACAGCTCCCACTGCTTGAGTAATATCTGGTCTAGTACAAACCATGTCATACATCAGACTTCCAATTGCTGAGGCATACGGCACCTTCATCATGTGTGCACGTTCTTCCTCCGTCTTTGGTGACTGTTCTTTGGAGAGTCTGAAATGAACATCTAAAGGTGTACTTACTGGTTTAGCATCTTGCATGTTGAACCTGGAGAGTACTTTGTTGATGTACTCAGCCTGTGATAACATCAAAGTCTCCGACTTTGTGTCTCTTTTGATCCTCATCCCAAGAATCTGCTTTGCAGCACCCAGATCCTTCATAGCAAACTGCTTCGACAATTTTTGCTTCAAGTTTATAATCTCTTGCATGTTTGAGCCTGCAATGAGCATGTCATCAACGTACAACAATAAAATAATGAAGCTATTGTCGAACCTCTTGATGTAGCAACAATGATCTGCTACGATTCGAATTCCTTTCTGAAGTTCTCCATCTGGACTCCGTGTGCAAGGCTGAGGAGGTTGATGCTTCACCCGATTCTCTCCGTCGAATTTATTCGCTCAGTACCAGATCCCGAACATCGTCGAATTTTAATTTGTTGTTTCCCGACGAGCTGCTGACTGCTGTAACAGTAGCATTCCAACTGTCTGGTAAAAATTATAAGAGAATTAAAGCTCGAACTTCATCATCGAATTCAATTTCCACTGAACTCAACTGAGTTGTGATTGTGTTGAGTTCATTTAGGTGTTGTGCCACCGATGCCCCTTCCGTCATCCGCAAATTGAATAATCACCTCATCAAATGAACTTTGTTTGAGGCTGATGGCTTCTCACACATACTAGAGAGAGTCGCCATAAGACCCGCCGTGGTCTTTTCCTTTGCTATGTTGAAAGCAACATTGCGGGATAACGTCAGTCGGATAACTCCGAGGGCTTGTATGTCGAGAAGAGCCCAGTCTTCATTTTTCATGCCCTCTGGTTGTTTTCCTGTGAGGGGTTGATATAGATTTTTCTGGTACAAAAAATCTTCAATCTGCATCTTCCAAAAGCCAAAATCTGCACCATCGAACTTTTCAAATTTCACATTCCCTTCCTCTGCAGCCATCGCTCCCACTCGAATCTGGCTTCTTTGGATCGTTTCTGACAATTCTTGCGAACCACCGTGTATTAGAACACCTCCGTCGACAAATTCGTATCGCCGACAAAATTTTTACTATTCACGAAATTTACTATTCACGTGAATAGTAACCTCGCAAAAATTGACAAAATTCACAACCAAATGCTCTGATTACCAGTTGTTGGGAAATAAACGAGTAAACAAGTAATTTCCCTATAATCAGATTAGTGAGAATGCGAAATAAAAGCGGAAAAATAATATCCGAAATTGATAACGGAGTTCAGCCAATTTTGCTTACGTCTCCGGACTGCTGCAGATCTTTTACTAAGAGAGAGATTTTACAGGTGTTTACAAAACACTCACTACTCACAAGAAAGCTCTCTAGTATTGGGAGAAAGAAATGATTTTTGAGATTTTGGGATGATTTTGAAGCTAAATGAGCTAGGGTATTTATAGTTGAAACTTAAGGACTAATATTTGTAAATACCCTAAAGTTCAATGATTCAATTTTGTAATTAACCCTATTACAAAATAATAAAAAAATAAGCTGCCCCCAATTCAAGCAGCCGGCTGCTGCTTTAAATTTCAACACAGAATCCAAATTTGTTGAGCCTCTTGTTGAAACATGGCTGCAACCTGCTTTTAGTATGTTCTGACCGAAGTACTCGGCTTAGTCAGAGAATCAGCAGGTAGAATCATGTAGATATTACCGACATGATTCTCGATTTCATGGCTGACTATCGATAATTTCGTAAACCACTATGTTAGTCTGTGATTATGTAGTTGGTACCAGTTTTCCTACAGATATTGACATTGTCCCATGAAAGTTTCAACTGTGTTAGGCCTGTTAGCTTCCTTGTTTCTCTTATGGGATGCTTGATGCTGTTTGGTTTTGTTTCGTAATCAGGGTACGGTTGTTCTTGTTTTCCAACCAGCAGAAGAAGGCGGTGGAGGGGCAAAGAAGATGCTAGATGCAGGCGTGTTGGACGATGTTGATGCAATCTTTGGACTGCACGTTTGGCATGAGAAACCGATCGGTACGGTGGCCTCCAAGCCGGGTCCTTTATTAGCTGGAAGTGGCATCTTCAATGCTGTAATAAGCGGAAGAGGAGGCCACGCAGCCATTCCTCACCATTCGATAGACCCGATTTTGGCGGCCTCGAACATTATTGTCAGCCTACAACATCTTGTTTCGCGTGAAGCTGATCCATTGGATTCCCAGGTACATTTCTTCCTTCCAGCCATTGCTTCCTTTCTTTGAATGCGTCCTTTTTGTGATACTATTTCCTTGTAGGTGGTGACCGTTGCACAGTTTCAAGGAGGCGCAGCGTTTAACATAATTCCGGATTCAGTTACAATTGGAGGGACTTTCCGGGCTTTTTCGAAAGCGAGTTTAGTACAACTTAAGCATCGGATCGAGGAGGTAAGTACACAAGGAAAGCCTTGTGAATGACTGAACGTTTCGGAAAAAAGGTTCATACATGTTATGATTTTACCATCCCAGAAATCTGATTTAGTCAAGTCGACAGGTTATCAAAGGGCAGGCTGCCGTGCAAAGGTGCAATGCAACCGTTGATTTTCACGATAAACCAGTGCCCCATTTCCCTCCAACCGTAAATGACGAGGACTTGCACGAGCATTTCCGGAAAGTTGCAGGGGTTATGCTCGGCATCGACAATGTTGAAGACATGAAACCATTGATGGGATCCGAGGATTTTGCATTTTACCAAGAGGCGATTCCCGGATATTTCTTCTTCCTAGGGATGCAAGATGAGAGCAGCCCGAAACTCAGCTCCGTCCACACACCGAACTTCATTATCAATGAAGATGTTCTTCCTTATGGTGCTGCTCTTCATGCATCATTGGCTACAACCCATCTCCTTAAAGCAGAGCTGAAACTTCGTTCCACAGAGGGCACTTTACATGATGAACTGTGAAGATCCTTGTACTGTCTTTAATGATGTTAGCACTTCAATTTTTTTAAAGAAATAATATAGAATTCAAAGTTAAAAGTTAAATGTGATCATTATAACTCTATTTTTATAGAATATGTTTCAAAATCATTGAATAAGAAAATAATCAGAATTATGGGCAGAAGTTATTAGATTCCATCAGAGAAGTTAATAAAATTATAATGTAAGAAAAAGTAAAAAAATAAAAGGGTTATGTAAATAGACTTCTCCTGTGGTCCTAGCTCACTGCGGTCCTACCTCACTGTTCTGTTCGTGCAGTGATCGACTTTCTCATAAAGCTTTAGAATTTAACTTTATTCAGAATTATGTTTGTGTCTGATTATATGATTAAATTTATTAAATTAAAATTAAAATTAAAATTAAAACTAAATAGATAAAATATATAAGTATTGAGGATTAAATATATAATTATATCAATTATGTTAATGGTAGGTAGCTTGATTGATATCATTTAAATAATGAAGTGGTCTGTTTGAAAAAAATAGAAGAGCATTGGTCAACTTAGAATTTTTCTATAATTAAGTGGTCATAGGTGTAAGTTACCCTAATTGTTTTTTACCCGAACTTCCTCAGCTAAAGACTTAAGAGTTAATTGGTGAAAATAGAAGATCATTGGTCAAATTAGAATTTTTCTATAATTATGTGGTCATAGGTGTAATTTACCCTAATTGTTTTTTACCCGAACTTCCAAAGCTAAAGACTTAGAATTAATTGCATCATAAGTCCTCAAATTATGACTCTTATTCTTGATTAGTCCTAAACTTTTAAATATTTTAATTTCATCCCTAACAATGACTATCATTCTATATTAGTCCTCCAACTTTTGAACATTTTATTTTCATCCTTAAACTATGACCTTCGTTTTAAATTAGTCCTCAAACTTTTTGAACATTTCAATTTCATCCCAAACTATGTGTATATAATAATCACATCATTTGTTAATAAAATCGTTATACCAAGTTATTACATGTTTGAAAACAATAAAATTTAGGTTAAACTATGCTTGAAGCTGATTACATATTTGGATGACTTTAGGGATGAAATTGGGAGATTCAAAAGTTTAGGGACTGATTTAGAATGAGAGTCATAGTTTAGAGATGGAATTGGAATATTTAAAAGTTTAAAGATTAGTTTAGAATTAAAGTCATAATTTTGGTAATTGAATTGAAATATTAAAAAATTTAAGTACCAATTTAAAATATAGTTATAGTTAAAGTACATATGATGCCTCAAAGACCTATATAAACAAATTCGAAAGGGAAGACGACTTAAAACAAAGGAAGTCAACCTCATCGTTAACCTTATCCTCTCTACTTCTACCCCGTCGTCTATTCTCAATCGTTTGCTTTGTTAAAAATGGCGGAAGCGCTTGTTTCTGGAGTCTTTGAACGACTAACCTCGATCAGCCTTCAAGTTGCTGAAAACGGGGTGAGACTCGTTGTTGGTGTTAACGAAGAAGTCGAGAAGATCGGCTCTACTCTGCGCACCATCCGAACTGTCCTTGCAGACGCAGAGAAAAGACAAGTGAAAGAGCAGGCTGTTAAGCTTTGGCTTGATAAGCTTCAAAACGTTGCTTATGATATTGAAGACGTGTTGGATGAATGGAGCACTGCCATTCTCAAATCACAAATCGAGGAATCTCAAAGATTTTCAACTTCTTCGGTAAGATCTCTTCAACCCTCCGGAATTTCTATTCCACGACTTGTTGGACGTCGTACAATTGCCGTCAAGATCAAAGAGCTAAACGAAAGGCTTCAAGTCATTGCAAAAGAGATAGATGATTTTTCTTTCATTGTAAATCTAACTCGGAACAATGACGTAGAGCCTGAAAGAACCAAGACCACATGGTTTATTGATGTTTCTGAAATACGTGGTCGAGACCAAGACAAAAGCACCATTGTTAGCATGTTGCTAAATGAAAGCAGTGCTGAAGAAAGGGGAATTCCTTTAATCTCCATTGTGGGGATGGGAGGGATAGGGAAACGGCTTTAGCCCAAATAGTTTACAGCGACTGTGAGGTGACCGCCTATTTTCAGAGGAAACTATGGGTGTGTGTTTCAGATCCCTTTGATGAGATGCGGGTTGCAAAAGCTACTCTTGAAGCTCTAACGGGTACTCCCTCAAGTTTCAGTGAGTTGAACACCGTGCTTGAGAAAATTCATGAATATATTGCTGGAAGAAGGCTCCTACTTGTTCTTGATGATGTCTGGACAGAGGATGAAAGGAAGTGGCAATCGTTGAAATACTGCCTTAACAGTGGTGCTGCCCCAGGAAGCAAAATCTTGGTGACCACACGCAAGGAAAATGTTGCTACTATAATGGGTTGCACCCAAATTTTCCATTTGGGGAGCTTATCCAAAGAAGAGTGTTAGTCCTTATTCAGTCACATAGCCTTTTCTGGAAGGAATAACAGAGAGCGTGGGTGCTTGGCAGACATGGGGAAGAAAATTGCAGATAAGTGTAAGGGCTTGCCACTTGCAGCAAAAACACTCGGAGGTCTTTTACGTTTTAAAAGATCTAGAGAACAATGGCAAAGAATCTTGGATAGTCATATGTGGGAGCTTGATGAGGCTGAAAGCGGTCTTTTTTCTCCCTTATTACTAAGCTATTATGATTTGCCAGCACCATTAAGGCAATGCTTCTCATATTGTGCCATTTTCCCTAAAGATCATAAGATAGAGAAGGATTTGTTGATCAAGTTATGGATGGCTCAAGGTTTTCTTGGAGAAGGAAATGAGATGCAGATTGTTGGTGAAGAGTACTTTGATAACTTAGCAATGTGTTCTTTCTTTCAAGAGTTTGAGATGGATGAAAATGATGATGGCATAATTAGATGCAAAATGCAAGATATCGTGCATGAATTTGCTCAGCTTTTGAGAAAAGGAGAATGCTCTATAGTAGCAAGCAATGGCTTTGAAGAGCAAAGAGCTGAATTGTATCATGAAAATGCTCGTCATGTAAGAGTAATTCTTGATAATGAACAGGCTGTGATTCCAAGCTCCCTTTATAGTGCTATAAAGCTTCGTAGCCTCATAGTTGATTCATGTCCTCATAGCGCATCAAGTCTAAATGCATCTTTGCGGACAGTATTTGATCATTCGACTAGTCTAAGGTTGCTAAACTTGAGCAACAATAGATTTCAGAGGCAAACTTCAATAACAGAACTTCCTCGCCAAATAGGGAAGCTGATGCATTTGAGATATCTCAGTTTGGAGGGAAATACAGGATTGGAATATTTGCCTGAGACACTGTGTAACTTATGTAACTTACAAACTCTGAACATCAGGTTGTGCTCAATTCTTAAAGAGTTGCCGTTGGGAATTGAAAGGCTAATCAATTTGAGGCATCTTCAAAATTCTGAAACATATGGATGTGAATCCATGGGACGAAGACTGAAAAGGCTAACACTTCTACAGACATTAGAAGAGTTTGTAGTGGTTAATGGTAGGTCCATGCCATATCATCGGGCACCGATTCTAGGTTTGGATAGGATTCCAGAAGATTTGGATAGGTCCAGCCTCGTTGATTTGGGAAGCTTTGCTCATCTTAGAGGGAATCTCAAGATAATAGGACTAGGAGATGTGAGAAGACGAACAGATGCAGAGAAAGCTAAACTTTGGGAGAAGACTGATCTCCGAAATTTGACTCTCTCGTTTATTTCCATGTGCAAAGACAAAAGATTTCCCAGACAAGCATCTGCTCCTGAATCGCCTGTTCTTGAAGCATCTATTCTTGAAGCCTTACAACCACCTCTGTATCTGGAATATTTGAACATAAATCGCATGAATGGTCCTACCACATTCCCCAGTTGGATGTTGTCGTTGACGATGTTGAGGAGGGTTACACTACAGGCTTGTTTTAATTGGAAAACCTTGCCTCCCATGTGGAAATTGCCAGTCCTTGAACATCTAGAGATATGGGAAATGAAGAATGTGAAAGAAGTAGGCCAAGAATTCATGGGAGCAGAGGGCGAAACATCTTCATCATCAGATAATAACAATATCGCCTTCCCCAGCTTGAAACATCTTAAATTTCAATTTATGGAAGAGTGGCAAGAGTGGAATTATGGGAACCTACTCACTACTATGCCACTTCTTTCTTCCTTGAGAATCAATAGTTGCCTCAAGTTAAAGTCGCTGCCCCGCCAACTTCTTCAGAAGACAACTCTGCAAGTATTAGATATCTTCGATTGCCCGATCCTGAAGGAGCGTTGTTTGAGGAATGGGACAGGGGGGGACTGGCCCTACATCTCTCATATCCTCACCATCACAATTGATGGTGAAAACATACAAAGAGATAGGAATTGATCAAGCTCTTCTTGGCTTCAAAGATTTGGTATGATAATCTTCATTTTTATGGAGGAAACGATCATTTACAAGGCCATTTTCCATGCTTTGCAACAAACTTCATATCCATTTTTAGTTTCCTGCTATGTCTGTAAAGAGTTCGGGTCATCATTCCCATATGTAACAGCCATTCTCTCTTACACATGAAGCAATACATTTAAACAAGCAATTCTTGAACATTTATACTACGCATGACAGTTGTGCACAATTGCCTAACATTTGTCTGAATCATTTTTACCCCATTGTTAGGTAAGCTGTGGAGGCATTTACCGGGATGCTACCAATCTTCCCAAAACCTGATCTTTACAAAATCTTGCAGCATTAAATCAGGTAGCCAATCAACTTTGCATTTGCTTTTCCTTTGTAATCTTCAGGCAGCTATTATGCATCTATATTTGTGTGTAATATGAGACATCCTGCATTCCAAATAATATGTTTGCATCATATTTGAATACATTGTTTTTGAATGAGTGTTCAGTTCTTAATTATGTTTTTGTTTTGGAAAATTTACTTACAGTATTAACATGCCATTAGCTTTCATTGTTCGAATCCAACACCAATTAGTTAAGGGTTATGCCATCTGATAATTCCAATCTATATCTGCATCTATGCTTGAAGTCAGCCACACATCAAAGTTAGAGTTAAAAAGCATGTCTACTACTTAAACTTGTCATTCTCATTTTAGTACTATTTGTATCTGGTACGAATATATTTGAATATATATATATATAGAAAATGATCTTTCAAATATATGAAAAATCACCATACTCATATGACAGACATATCTGAGTTCAATGCTCTTCCCAAGTCTAAAAAAGTTAGTATCGAATAATTACATTTTGTACTGGATATTGTCTGCTAACAGCATCATCTTTCCTCGAATCATTATGTTAGGAGTCAAAATCAATCACCACCACTTGGTGATTGTCTTTCTCAGAAGCAAGATTCAACTCAAACTGGAAATTCTCCCTCTTCAAACCAATCACATTAAACCAAACTGATCAATTTTTTTTTCTTTTGGTTTGAACCAAACAACGGCGAAGACCCAACACTTTGCTAAAAGGAGAAAAAAAAAAGGGTGGGAGCAACCGGTGAACAAGGGCTTAAATGACTTATGCAATTCGTAGCAGGTTATACTCCAGCATGAACCAGAACAACACATCATACAAAGTAATACTTACTGGCAATGAGAGAACGAAAAATTCCCTGCAGTCTTCTTCCTGTCATGTTTCTTGATTCACCACTTGTGATTTGAGTTCAAATAAACATGAATGCATTTTCTGAAACTTATATCAAGAAGTAGCAGTTGTTTGAAAACCGTTAAAAGCACCGGCAACATTGATCTTCACCGTTGGTTGATGATTATATCAACAATTCAACACAAAACCCCAGCCAAGATTAATCAGAACTTCCTCCGCAAACTAAACTCCTGCGACAGATATATTAGATTAAGCAAATAATCATATATATGCACACGAGGTAGCATAACAATTGCAAAGTTGTATTGCAGTCTAGTGTAGAATTTCGATTGTAGAATCAGCAGTTTGATATATTTCACTTCCAGGTGATTTCATTCTCTAGGTGAGTTTCAGATATTTCCCTCCTGTTAGCCAAATCTAGCAGCTTATCATGCAGCAGAACTCAAGAATGAGCACTAATTAGCAAACACTAGATTGACTAATCCTTTTATAAGCAACCAAAACTACCAAAAGAGAATAAGTAAACTACTTATTACTTACATAATTGAGCATCGGGTTCGAGGCCTTTCTTCCGTGCCATATCCTTCTATTGGAAGTTAAAGAACAACCTTGATTGCAGTATCGAAAACAGTTTTGAAATTTTGAATAGTAAATGGAGATTCAAAATAAGTTGCATTTTGTTAAAAATGGAAGACTCCGGGATATAGTCCACTTTAGGGGTCTCACTGCTTTCCCTCGTTGGATGTTGTCATTGACGATGTTAAGAGAGTTCACTTGCAGAATTGTCTTGACCGGGTAAGCTTGCCTCCCTTGGGAAAGTTGCTGTCACTCGAGTATCTTAGCAGAGGCAATGCAGAAAGTGAAAAGAGTAGGAGAAGAATTTTTGGGTTTAGAAAGAGAACTGGGTCAAGCATCTTCTTCCTTCTCATCTTTTTCTTCATCATACACTGCATTCCCTCAGTTGAAGTCCAGTTTGTGGATGCCGAAGAACAGCAAGAGTGGGAATATGGGAACCGATTCACAAGCAGAGGAGAAAATGATATCACAGTTATACCATGTCTTCATTCCATGTACATTTATAGTTGCTCAAAGTTAAAGAAACAGACACTCCATCTGTTTGAGAAGACAGCTCTGCAACAATTGTGTAACCTCTGGATGCCTTGTTTTGAAAGGAGAGGACTGGTCCTATATCTCTCAAATTCTCAACATTCAAATTGAAGGTGGATTGGTGCAAGGGAAGGACTTCTCATTTCCTTTTCACTCAGCAGTCTTGCAGATGCAAATTTAAATTTGTTGTTTGAAATTCTTGAGCTATCTTAACAATAAAAGGGAGTATTGTTCTTCTAAGAAGTATTAGATTCGAGTAATTACACCTATAAAGTGTGTCTGCCTGTGCGTTCATTGTCAATTAACTAAATTATTACTAAACATATATTACTTTATAATCATTCTACACTAATTAAAAAAATTGTTTGATTAAAAAATTTAACTATATAAACTTAATTAGATCCGTTTTTCTAAAAGATTTAATTAATTCTTTTATCTTTATTAAAATAAATTTTACCATGAAGTCATTAGAAATTAATATTTTTTTATATTTTTTCAATTCAACTCAACTCAAAATACAAAAATATAATAACTTTTTATTGTATGCCGTCTCTTGATTGATTAAATTATAATTATAAAAGTATAGATAATTGATTTAATAATAATATAGTTTGAGGATTAAACTCAGTACATCACAGTTATATTTTTTTTTAATAAAAAACAAGCTAATTGTCCGTTGATATAAAAAATATATGGGGAAATAATTTTTTTAAATATTTCATTTTCTTTAAAAAGAGAAAGAAATGATAGCAAAAATGTTCCTCCTTCCATTGATTTGCTTTATTTTGGGTGAACTGTATTTAGGGATGGCCATGAGACTTAAATTCGACGGGTTTCGATCTGATCCGATTGGATATGGTTTTTTTTAAAAAAATTTGGTTAGAGTCACGTCGGGTTTTTAAATGTGATGTTCAGGTAGGATCGAGTTCGGTTTTAGGTGAAAATATCCGACCTGAAAAATATATATAGTTTTTCCTTATATATTTAAAGATAATTACAATAATACTCTATATATATTATTTTTCAATTAAGTTACTGTTTTTATTGAATAAAAATAATATTTTTTATTATTTCGGGTCGGATTGGATTTTTAAGTTATATATCGGGTCGAGTTCGTTTCGGGTAAAATTTTATTTTGGTTGAGTCAAATCTCGAGTGGAGGACTCATTGTTCTCGAGTCGGATCGGATGGACTGAAAATGACTAATAAATAAAATGCTCAAAAAAGAGTAAAAGGAAAAGCCTTTGCCCCACTCTAAAAGGCAAAAGAAGACAAATAATTGACCCTCTTGATGCCTCCAAAAGCTCTCACCGAAGTGGCTGAGGCCGTCTTCTCATCCTTCCAAAGAGCATACCAACCCTTTCTTTCATTGCAAACTCCTAATTGAATCCAAACTCTCCATTTCCTCATATATGGTAATATAATATATATTACTATATAAGCAAGAATGTTGAAGAAGTTTTGAATATTGTAGGCTGATTACGGTTTTGAGTTTTTGTTCTGGCATATTTACAGATACCCGGTGAACAAAAATGGCGCTTCCCTATACCTATCACTATAAGCTTTCTTTCTCTGCTCTCAACTTAAAGAAATCTGGGTCTTCGCATTTGCAGACCGTTTTTTGTGTACAGTGCAATTCCAATGTTTCATCTTCACCATTCACGGAGAAACACTCGTTGCAACGATACCAAAGGGACCAGTGGGTCTACAACAACAGCCACAATAGTCAGAAGTTGCTATCTCTCAAAATTGATGATCAAGCCGCCTCTTGCTCCGTACCATCTGATGGCGATTCCACTAGGTTAAACGACATCGCTTTGCAGCTGCCGGAGCTCAGGAAGTTGCTTGAAGTTTTGAAACATAAGAGAGAGAGCCGTGGCGGCCAAGTGCCCGAGAATGGACCGGGGAATGTCTTTTTGGTGGGGACTGGGCCTGGAGATCCCGATCTCTTGACGTTAAAAGCTGTCAAAGTCATTCAAAAAGCTGATCTTTTGTTGTATGATAGGTTGGTTTCTAATGCTGTATTGGACTTGGTTGGCCCCGATGCCAGGCTTCTATATGTCGGCAAAACTGCTGGCTTCCATAGTCGAACTCAGGTAAAATTATTCAATTTATGGATGGTTTATGCCAATTAGATTCCTCAGATATATATATATATATATATATATATATATACAATTGTGAAAAGATTGAGTTTTGTTGCTGTTCTTGCAGGAAGAAATCCATGAGTTACTTCTGAGTTTTGCTGAAGCTGGGGCTAATGTTGTCAGACTTAAAGGAGGAGATCCACTGGTGAGCCATTCCAACAATTACCAACATTTTCCACTTAAATTAGTTGAAATGCCTTATCAAGTTTAGTTCTATTCGGGGGCTTTTTTTTTTCTTTTTTCTTTTTCTGGAATAACTCGTGATTTTCAGGTATTTGGAAGGGGCGGAGAAGAAATGGACTTTCTGCAACAGCAAGGGATTCAGGTCAAGGTTATCCCTGGTATGGTACTGTACATTGATCTTCTCTGATTCACATTTGCAATTCATGATAGATAAATTTCCTTGCTTCAAGGCGAAATATTTGATGATGCTGAAGGGTTGCTGATTGTAAAATACTGTAATTACATCATTTCGATGAACATTTTTACTTCTGATTTCATATCCCCAATTTGCGAAACTGCTGTAGGTGTCTAATGATTTTACATGGTATGGACTTGCCTTAACGTATTCCTTTTCAACTGATTCTTCTATCTTAGGGACGATTGATTAGGTTTTGAAAATTTTCTGAATGGAAATCCTCGATATTAAGGGGTGAAGTGTGTTTTGGTGTGTCAAAACAACAGTGCAAAGATAGAGGGTAAAGCAGAATTGTCTTGATCATATGTCCTGCATTCCAGAGGCTGCATTCACATATTATTCTTAGTTAAGCATGTTTGAAAATAGTTTCTAATGGTAGGAAATATTTTGGATGACGAAAGGGAGCTTTTTTCTTATAGTTTATAACATCTGTTTGAGCAACGATCATATTGGTTCATGTGTTTGAGACAATAACAAAAAGAACTGAACTTGAAGATTTCTTCAATCCTGTAGGCCCTATGAGGACTGCTGAGTTCTGGTTTATGAATGTTGATGAAGAATTGAAAAGCATAGAACTGTTTGTATAAGAAATGCGGTTCAACATTAATATACTTGTTGCCTTGCAGGTATTACTGCGGCTTCTGGAATATCAGCCGAGCTGGGCATTCCTTTGACCCATAGAGACGTGGCAATTAGTGTAAGATTTCTCACAGGTCACTCAAAAGGTGGAACGGATCCTCTTTTTGTTGCCGAGAATGCTGCTGACCCTGATTCAACTTTAGTGGTTTATATGGGCCTATCCACCCTCCCTTCTCTTGCCCAAAAGTTGATACTTCATGGCCTACCACCAGATACACCAGCTGCTGCTGTTGAGCGAGGAACCACGCCTCAACAGCGCACAGTAAGTAGAACGTCATGCGTGATTTCTTCATAAACATTAACACAACATGAATTATTAATGCTTTTGAGGGATATTCAATAAAACCAGAAATCTTGTTTCCATCACGCTAACCTAGTATGGTTGGTCTTTCATAATGATACAGGTCTTTGCAGAACTTAAGGATCTTGTCGATAAAATCAAAACAGCAGAGTTAGTTTCACCAACACTAATCATAATCGGGAAGGTGGTCGCCCTTTCACCTTATTGGCCGCAGTCCTCGAAAGAAGCATCCCGACTTGTTGAAGCCTAACCAAAAGGACATCAAATCTCTAGGCTGCTTTTATCAGTATTTTGACACTTCTTGGACTTGTTAATGTCAACAAGAAGCAGCCACCAAATTTCAGTGCTAATTTTATTTGTTATTTCTTTTGACCATTAGGATTTGAACTATGATTTGAGTTCATTGAAAATGTGTTGATTTACCATAAACTTGAGGAAATTGGGAATAATGTGGAATTTGTACTTGTTAGATACAAATTACAAATATTTCATTCAATCATATTGTATATACATGTAAAGCAAAAATTTTATACCCAGAATTAAGGGTTTGGTTCGGTTCGGTTTGTGCGACCGACTTTATGACATATGGTGAATTGTATTAATCCTCACTAACAGAGACAGGATTAGCTTTAAACATATAACTACAGAAATTCACCTTTGTAACTAAACCTTATCAATACCCAAAAACTTCGGATGCCAACCCTAACAAAGGATCCAAGGCACTTGGAGCAAACTTCCTTGCAAAAAGATAGCAAATAGTAGATGACTGGTCATTATATAAGCAGGATTGACCTTCAAAAATTCTCTTGAGGAAGCCTTTGGTAATATCAGCTTTCCCGAATGTGGCCGGATGAGCGCCGCCCCTTGACCACTCGGTCCAAGTAAGGGTCCTGTTCGCCAAGAGATGAGGCGATTGAATCGTCAGCATTGTCGGGAAATAGTGCTCGTCGACATAACAACCACGAAGGCAGAATTTCTTGAACTTGGGGTAATAAGTGGCGTCTTTAATTATATCAATTGCAAGCTTTCGGTTAACTTTGAACCATTGGGACCCTTTACGCCATTGGCTAAGTGTGACCTCTGGTTGCATGCGTTTAATGTATCGTTTTCTCCCGTGGGGTCCGAGTTCGTCGAACGAGCCCATAAAGCTGTGTTTTGATCTTGATATGTAGTGATAGATTACACTGAAATTGAACAGTGGAATGCAAGACTCGGATAGGAGAATGAACCATTCATTTGAGATGTCGAGCAATGCATTGGCGAGGAGTCTTCTCTCTGCCTCGCACATACTCATCTTTCCCCACTCAACAATCTGCAAAGAATTTTGAATAAATAATCAAATCATTTAAACAAAAACCTTCAGGGAACAAACATCCTGTAACTTTTTCCCTACAGAATTTCGTTTGTTGAAATACAATCATATTTTAAATGACATGTCAAACCGATTATGTTAATCACTATGTTACTTGAATTCGAATGCGAGTGTAGCATATAGGTCTGTATTTAACACGAATATTCTCGAATGTTTTCTGAAGTTTCTGTATGTATTTGGAAGACCTTCATAGAGTCACATTCCCTAACGCGATTTTGAAAATGTATCCGATACATTTCAGACCCTAAAAGATGTACTCATCTAAAATGTTGCTAGTTCATACTTATAACTAACCCTGTTTCTTTATCACATATATCTATTTGAAAATATTAAAGAATACTATGATAGAGGGAAAAAATCTAAGGAAAATAAAGAGCAGATGTTACTCATTTTCGGTACAAGTGTCTGGTATAAGTAGTATTAGATGTGAATATGTTTAGTTTTTCAAAGAATTTTATGTATTTGGAAGGTCTTTAAATGTTCATATCCAATATCCATGTCCAATTATGTTTCAAAAGTCGATACTTCAGGAAAAATGAAGAGTATGTGAGTAGGAAGATGATTAATAAATCAAGCACAGTGGGGAAGAAAAGTTCAGATGTTGCAGGGAAAAACACCTTGGTTATGCACTAATATGCAAGAGAAACGATCCAAAGCTATGTTACTCGGATTTAGATGTTAAAACGATCCAAATAGAGTTATGTTAAGAAGTGTCCTACACAACATATGTGAAAAAAAGAGAGATGAAATTGATACTTGACTTGGGATTTGTCTCCTGAAAAAAACTGATGATGTTGGGTACCCACCAGTGTAGGATGGCAGTGCATGGACATATATGGAGTAAAGCCCTTCATGCTCCTTGAAGAATCTGTCCCAGAGAGGAGCCATTGGCAGTGGCCCCTTGCTCAAGAACATGAAGGCAATTTTTGGGACTCTCCTGAAAGGATACTCCTTGATCCGAGGAACAAATGAAGCTCTCCATAGTAATTCCGTGTCATTCATATCATGCATCGAGCTTGAAGGAGGCCTAATGAAATTTTCCAAGGTATTAGCATATTCAAACCAAGGCAGAACAGTGGATGGTGCTTAATTTGCTGCAATCTGCGGGATCAAGGAAAATCGTACTGAATACGTACTGATGTTCGATAACCAGAGTCCCATGATCAAAAGCAACAAACAAGTTACAAGGTTCCTCAAAGGAAAAGCTCTGGAGAGCTTGTTTTGTTTGCAGGAACTGGTTCTTTACCTTCCTCCATAGCCACCAACCTTGGCTGCATCTCAGCTTTAACCCCTCAAATTAGAACCAACGTTCTGGGTTTTGTATTTCATCTAGAACCAAACAAAGAAGGACCCTTTTAGGATCAAAAACAGCACCAGAAGATAAAAAAAGACAACTTTGAAACACTGTTTTATACAGAAAGGAGATATAAATAAGAACAGCAAAACACTTTTTGAAAAAAGGGGCAAGAAGTTCGGTAGAAATAAATGACTAAGTTCCTATGAAAATAAACACAACGTGCGTACACGATGCTGAAGAGATCTAGATATAAAAGAAGGAACAAAGTTGTTAACGATACGATGGGGTTGTGTTCTTTTTTAGTACAACGTTTAATTAAAAGTAGAAAGAAACCCTTTGAATTAACACAAAATGGATCAGTAATTCCGACTGTCTCTGGTCATAGAAAGAGACAGTATGGGACTTTTCTTTGATGGCTTCAGCCTACCTACAGTGTTTGCGTGTTCTCTTTACCAGTTTAAAATAAGAGGGTAAAGTAACTATTTAGTCACTAAATTATTGGTATATTCCATTCTGATCACTAAATAATTGATTTTATTAATTAAACCACTAACATTTCATTTTGATGCCAATCAAGTCACCTACCATTAAATCAGTTAATCTAGTTCTAATTCTATATGATTTCGTAAAAAGCCTCCTAAAACTTAATGTTTGGTAGTTCTCTAAGTTCTTCCAGGTGTTTGAAGAAACGTCCAAAACATATTTGAATTTTACTTGTTACTTGGTTATGGTGAATGACAAGGAGGGTGCATTAGGATGCAGGTTTAGATGAAGGCAACGAAGGAGGTGCTCGGGAACAATGGGTTGGGGTTGTCGTATAAGACGATGAAGGAAATGGGTTGGTAGTGATGTTAAAAAAGTGGAATCGTTATCTTCACTTGATTGACACTGAAATAAAACATCATCGTTGACACTGAAATGAAACGTCATCGACACCATTTATAAATTCCGTTTAGTGATCAAAATAAAATCGCTTCGTAGTAATGGAAGCTCGATTTAGTAATAAGTCGAATTAATGCCCATTGCTTCAGGGCTGTTATTGTGTAGCTTGGGCAGCTATGACCGGTGTTCAACAATGGGGGACTAACCGCCAATGGTGCTTTTGAAGATGGAATAATATTCTCTATTAGTCGCTCCCTTCAGTTTCAACTATGAATCAACTCTAATTACTGCTAGCCGGGCCAACAAAACAAAGTTGCAAACAAAAGATGAACACATGCCAAAATGTGGATGATTGATAGAAAATGGGACTGATTCGGATACAAACAATAAAATGTTAAATCAAACAGACACCAGTATTATGGTTTTCTTAAACCGAAAAGAGGCTACAAACTAAGAACAATATAATGCTAATGAAGCTAGAAAATGTTCTCAACATAATTTCAGACATCCTACAATGCACGACTCTAAAAGGTCCAACCTCACTTCTCCGAAGAGTTGGGTCCGCGCTTCTTCCCGAAACCAACAACTGCCAAAATAGGAAACAAGCAAAAGGTCCGTCACAAGCTCAACATAATCAAAATTGCAGGATAAAACACAAGCATAAACGTTCTTCAACCAAGCAATTCTCAAAAGAATTTAAGATGGACCATATATGTATATGAACCTGATGCTTGCTAGTCTTCTCCAGTTCATATGGTATGAATGAAATACAAATTATTAGAATCGTAACCCTTGTTTAGGAACTTATATATATGAGTTTTGTGTTTATACACACATATAATTCCAAATAAGTAAATTCAACGGTTTGTTAATTGTTTGGTTAACTTACTGATTTTATAATAAATTATATATTAATGAGATCGCTAGTTTTACTGAATTGGATAGAGCAATCTTAGTAACAAAGACTGAGAATTACTATAAAAAATTCAGTGTCAAGGCACCATATTCACCTTGTCTGAGAATAAATTCCTTCAGGAAAATAGGTTGAACATATAACATACGATCAAAGTTAAAAGACAAGGAAACGAGTCAGATGAGCAGAAAAGAACTAATAACCCTAATAGTTGGTTCAAGAAACCAGCAAATTCATCTCTAAAATGAGTCATTGCAATTAGAGGAACAATCAATATGATTAAGAGCTAATTGAACTGGAATGAACAAAACCGATTGTTTAACCCAATTGTAAACAAAGTTCAAAATCAATTAACATAATTTCAACCTTGTAAAGATCAGAAACAATAAAATATATAAACAAGAAAAGGAGATAAACTAACCGGCAGTCACGAAACGGCGGTTGTACTGCATCCGCTTATAGGCGCGGCCTCTAGGCTTCTTCTTCTTGTCTTGCTTGGCTACTTTTGGAGTTTGCCCTCTCACATTCCCGGCGCGTGCCAACAATCCATGGACCTTACCTGTACGACAATCTCCAGAGTTTCAAATCACGATCCGAAAACGTGATTTCGTCCTCGAAATAGTGGTTTTACCACCGTCTGAGTTACCCGCTACGCCCGTAATAGAGTCCAATAGTGCCCGCGACAGCGCAATCACTGTAAACCTGAAATGACCGAAAATACGACTACGACTTGAAACACTGACATCGGATAAAAAAACAAATTAAAGTAAATAAATAAAAAAAAGGAAAAAAATCACCTCACAAGCCTAGGGTTTACCCATTTTGTGATTGTAGTTGCTTCTCTAAACTCTGATTAAAGGCGGTGAGGGACAATGCCGACTTTCGCTTAGGGTTAGGGTTTTTTTCCAGGTATTTGTTAGATTTTAATCTTAATATTTTTTTTGAAAGTTTAATCTCAATTTTAAGCTGAAATAAAATGGGAATAAAATAAAGACTACAAATAAAAATTATCTAAAAAAATCATCTTCAACTTAGTGTTATTTGAATTGTTATTTTAAATCAAAACTAACAAAATATTTAAAAAAACGATTAATTTAAAAGTCGAGTCACATAATCGGAATTATTTCGACTAAACACCCCTAAATGTTCCTCTTAACAATATTATCTCTAAAGTTCAAACTTGAATATAATCCTTATGAGTGTAATGTGTCTTATCGTTATACCCAACACTCTTTAATATAATCTACAATCATTTCATTTTTGTCACTTTTCATTATGAATGGAACAAATAATACTACAGGTTACCTTCCTATTGGACACCTCGTATGTGTGAGTGTGATGTCTGATAGCTTTGCGAGGTGAGTGAAAGAAATTCTGCAAATTTGCGCACTGTGGTTTTAATGTAAATTAAGAGATCTTACTTTACGAACCTCTGAAGTTGAAAATTGGGGTTGGAACCGGTGACATTAATGGTCATATGTCAACAATTTTATGTGCATATGCTATGGAACCATTTGCAAGTGGATCAAAATATCAAAGGATGTTACAAGCTAAAATGCATTCATGTTCCCTCACTCCCTCTATTGAACGTGTTTGCCTATTGGAGCTTTGTTAATACTAGCTTTCACCTAAGGGATACCTGTAGTTCTTTATTTTATGATAAAGATTCTGGTTTATACATCACTTTTTATTATACCTATAGAGAAAGTAACTTTATCTCTGAAAATATGATTTCTCCCTCAATCTATTAAGATTATTCTCGGAGAGACTTGTTGGAGACCAAGAATCTTCGATAAGATTTTCGTAAAGACCTTTAATAAGCCTGAGAAATTTATGATCATGACCAAATCTGATAACCGGCGGCTATATTTATATAACCTTTGCAAAGATTATACATAGTAATCATGACCTTAAACTTGACAAAAGTACATAAAAAATAATCATTATATGAACATCAATGCCGGTTAGGAAAAATGATTTCTTCTGCTTGAAATATTCTTTCTTTAACTTCCCTCTTCCTCTATATCTTTCGCCACTAATATCACCCGTTAACGATTGATTCTTCATTGACTATAACTTTTTGTCCAAATTAAAGAGTGAATCACGTATATTTAACACTTCTAATAATACAACTTTGTCTTATATTTGGTTTTGGACTTTGTGACTTGCTTTTACAATTAGGATAGCCTATCACAATAGAGCCGAGTAGACACGTCCCTTGGTTGAGCTAATAGTCACTAGTCAGCTCTTAGCAGCACGCAAAGGCAAACCTAGTTGTCCATATGACACCATTGCAACAGCTAAAATCACAACGGCTCAGCACAAAGTCAATTCTCTCAACTTGGAACTCCAAATAAGCTTGTGCACATGCAAATTGGTTATTTTGCAACTCATGACAAACAAAAAACCAAAACCCCCAGCCTGAGATATGGGCCACTTTCTTCAACAGATTATCTAAATTTAGCATATACTTCCAAACCACAAAACTCCCACTTGATCCAATCAAAACCCACCTTTATTTTCACCTTTACAAGAAAAAACTGAAGCATTTAAAAATATTATCAAAAACCCACATCATCATCATAATAATGGAGGCATTATTAGTTGGATAGTTCTAGGGGTTATATAAAGCAATAAAACAAAATTGAGAGTTGAACAACCATATATATTACAAATGGACCTGCCAAAAAAGAAGCATAAACATGTGCTGAGCAATTAGATTCCAGGGTGGTTTTCAAGAGCACGCTTTGGGTTGAATCAAGGAGACTGGTCAGAGAAACCAAAAGAAAAAGGTTTTGAAGTACATAGAAATACGTTAAACAAATTGTATTAAACAAAGCAATAAAGTGATGATCAGAATCACTTTTCTTTGCCCTTGGTCTTAATCATAAGTGCTATAAGCAGACCCTTTTTCATATGAGAAAAGGTTATCAGGAACTAAGCCCCTTTCTGCTCTTGGGTGATGTATACAATGATGGTGATAATCAGAAAATCTATCATTATAAAGATTTTTTTGATACTATGTAATGATGAAAATGACGGTAACCAAGGGATTTGGATTAGTTTCTTTTCTTTCAATATAGTAGTACTTGTTCTGAGACTGGGACATGTCAATCATTAATGGAGGGTTATGAAATGATGATACAATAGTTTGTTTTTTCAACCCTGTGGATGGTGGATATTATTAGGGTTTTGGAGTGGTAAAGAAGAGAAAGCAAGGTCAGGAGGAGGACAATGCATTGGGTCAAGCTTGTTGCCTAGGTTTTCTAGTGCCTTGACTTGGGACCTAAGGAACTTTAGATAATTTGCAGCCTCATCAAGCATTGATGCAGTGTCCATCTTGCTCCCACCAGGAACCAGCTTCTGCAAAACCCTAATTCTCTCACTTATCCTCTCCCTCCTTTGCCTTGCTGCGACAGTTTGTGGATCCGTAGATATCTTGACGTTCTTCCTCTTCGGTTTCTCCACCACTTCCAAACCTAAGTTCACTGGCCTGAACGATGCAGCTCGATAAATCATCTCTTTCATTTGTGCAATGGCCTCTGGATCAGGTTCTTCAACGGAAGAAGATACTGATGAGCTTGCAGGCTGTTGAAAGTTGATATTCGATGAGCTCGGATGCTTTTCCGATCTGATTTTCTCTGCTTTCGGTGGGTTCTCGGGGATGAGCCTAAAACCACCTTCTGTTGCAGAAGAGTCAGTATGAAGAAGATTGAAGTAACCAAAATTTAACTCACTTTGCTCATTCTTTCTCTTTGAAGAATTACTAGACTTTGTTTGCAATGGTTTGCCATTATTGATGCATTGGTCTGAAGCATTCCGGGACACTATTTCATCGAGCTCGTTTACCAGACAATTGAAATCTTTGCTTCCCGTATTTGAGCCATTGTTTTCAGACTCTCCAGATGAAACTGCACTGCTAGCAGCGAAATTCCATGGATTTTTACAACCAGAGAAAATCATGGAAATCCCATCATCTTCAACAGATGTATCAGTGTTGCTATTACTAGCAGAGATCAAACAATCAAAGGACTCAAGAGAGCCTGTTGTTCTACCACCACCATTGATGAATTGTGACTGAACCGGATTACAATAAGCTCTATTCATCAAAGGAGAAGAGCAAAGCCCTTGTGTTAAAGCATCTTCCCAGTTTGCATATTTTTGCAGTTCTTGAATCTGCCAGAAGATATCTTCCGGTAGATCATCGATCTTGCCACCATACATGGAAGAATTTGAAGAGCTGGGAATTAAGAAACAACCATCCTCCATATCGTTTCGTTGATTGTTCCACACGGGCAATGATTTTGCTTCAATTTCTGAAACGTCCCACCCCAATCCATCCATGGAAGAAACTATCTGAGGCAAAGAACAATAAAAAACTCTGGTTATTATATTGCCAAAAGAAACCAAAATCAAACCTCAGCTTAATATCACCTTCTGAACAACCTGGTACTGCCAATAACCGTCCTTAATTCATGATCATGAAAACTGTGATCATCAACAACAAAAAAAGCCACAGCTAACGTCAGTCTAGGCAACTGGAGTTTGTCTTGTATGGAACATAACAAAATTCGATGAAATTTTCCCAAGAAATCATCCAACAAAGGATAAACATAGAAATGAAAGCAATCAAGAAACAAGGAAAACACACAAAAAACTCATCTACCTTGAGCTGTTGTAGAGAGAAGTACTTGCAAAGTATAAGTCGAACGCATGCATGCTTATATAGATAGGACTTGAAAAATGTAAAAGAAAAACAAGGGAAAAAGGGTGGCCAAATAAAATATAATTTAATGTTTGAAAAAGATAAGGCTTTTTGGTCGTTTGGGTGGGTGTGTAAGAGCATATTTCTGCAGATGAGTGCATCAGATATCAGAGAAGCAAGAATTTTTGAATGAAATAAGAACTATATACTATATAATTTGGTTGATTTTAATACGTTAATGCACGCGCGGCAGGGTTATTGCTAGAGCAATTTAGAAATCTAGGTGTATGCAGTTAGAGCTGGGTTAAATTACTAATTAAAGTTACCAGTTTCTCATTTGTATTTTGCAAGTGAAAGAATCAACGTCAGAGGGTGGAATTAGCAGAATATTTAACTCAAGTTTCTACGCTTTATAAGCTCTTTCCCGATACAAGGCTTGATTAATTAAGACTGGCTAACCTGAAAGTGCACCGGAGCTAGCCATGGCTGTGTCTTGGACGAGTTTTTTTATATGGCTAAATTACAATTTCATCACTCAATTTTCTTCTCAATCTTATTTTGGTCACTAAATTTTATAAAATTTCTATTTACTCATTAAACTTTTGATTTCCTCCTATTTTGATCACTCGGGTGTTAAATCATAAATGGCAGCCATGTATGCTGACATGGAATCCTTATGTCATGCATCTCTCTCTCTCTCTCTCTCTCTCTCTCTCTTTATTTTATCTTCTTCATCCAAAGATAAAAATTTTACATTTTCATCATCGTGTCACGTCGATGTTGCAATTATCATTCTCTAACGTCTTCTCCAACCACTCAAGATATAAATGAACTCTCTTCATTGTCTCCTATTACTCTATCAATTTAGATTTTCTTAAAATCGCTTTAAAACTCATGAAACTCAACCCGAAATTTAAAACTCATAAAACCCTAACCACTATGATAGAAAATATCCATTGTTCGATCAACGAAAAATTAAGATATACAACTCGCTTTTGCCTTCTTCACATTCCAATTGTTGAGATCTGGAAAAAGATACTTCATCGTTGAGAAATTAAATGAAATCTAAAATCAAGAGTTTTTTTTATAAAAAGAAGAAATTTGGGGGTCATTTCATAATTTTTAAAAGAAAAGTGTCCAGTCACGACGGTGTTAAGTATTTAATGACAAAGTGACTAAAATTGGAGCAAATTGGAAGTTTAGTGATGTTAGGAAATTGGTTAAGCATGATATTCAAGAAACATTGAATACTTCTCATTCATTCCAGTAAACGGATTACATTGCTTTATAGCAGCTAACAGAAGCTTAGTTCTAGTCTAGAAGCTTTGTAACTACCTTAACTGACTACTAACAGCTCTAATTAACTGACCTTAACTACTTAGCTCTAATATTCCCTCTACTTTCTCCTCCTCCTTCAACAAAGTAACACGCACATCTTAGCCCTGAACAATTGAAAAGATGAACAATTAAATCGAAAGTGCGGATGCTTCCTTCCGTTCACTTGAATCGAAAGTACCGATGCTTCCTTTCGTTCTTCTTGAATCGAAAGTGCCGATGCTTCCTTCCGTTCATTTTGAATCGAAAGTGATGATGCTTCCTTTCGTTCTTCTTGAATCGAAAGTGTCGATGCTTCCTTCCGTTCACTTTGAATCGAAAGTGCCGATGCTTCCTTTCGTTCTTCTTCCTCACCTTCATTTCTTTCTTCTTTATTGTTATTTCAATTATACAAGACCACAAAAAAATACTACGCTACACCATTTACCGAAAATTCCATTGTTCTTTCAAGGCTTTGTTCTTTCCATGAAGATGCTGGTGCAATGATCCATGTGCCATAAACTCGTAAAGCAGAAGCCGTTCTCCACCCTCTTCGCAGTATCCGAGCAGATTCAAAAGATGGCATGGTTCAATCTTGACAATAAATTTAACTCTGTGCGGAACTCTTTCGAATTCTTATGTTTATCTGAAGATATTATAGCCTTTATAACTGCAACAACTGTCCCATCTTTCAATACCCCTATAAAAACGCATGAGAAACTTCTTTTTCCAACCACGGATTCTTCTTTGAATCCACCAGTGGCCCTCTCAAGTTCTTCGTAATTGAACATCCAAGCTCTCCTGATCTTAAGCTCATCGAAGTCGGAACGGATTTTTATGTTTTCTTTTCGGCAAGAAGCAACCTCATTTGCTTTCATGAATTTTGACTCTTTTGCTTTGCAGCGACAGTTATGCAAACTCTCGTTTTTACTTCCATTAGCAGCATCAGAATTCGAAGGCGAAGAACAATTAGAGAAGCACTCCACTGAATTGCAACTAGAACAATTATAATCACAAACACGATCGGCCTTCAAATTACATCCTGATTTTTGGTACATTTCAGCAGGGCAACCAATGCCGAGGTGGCAGTGAAGGAAACGAGCAATCAACAACTTGGCCGCAAGGGACTTATGGGCAGCTTCCTCGGTTGTAACTCTAACAGACTTTTCATCGAATAGTTTCTGGACAGTTAGGGATAGCAATCCAGCCGGTGATTGGGTGGCAGATGGAGGACCCGATTGCAGGAATGATACAGGAGATGAGGGAGGGGCGATAAAGGGCATTACAATGCCAGTCAGATTGCTTACATTTTCAGCAGTTGAAACTGCAGCTCCAGGTGCCACTGGTTCAGGGACAAGGACAGCATGGCCAATTCGCTTACTGTTCTTATGAGATCCGAAACACCAGTAAAAGCTCCAGCAGCTTCCCCATCGTTTCTTCTGAACTGTGGTAGGTTGGACTATGGACTTGGCTGAGACGATGGCGGAGGCAGCCGCCGATGGCATATTCTCCTCCTCTTCCATGCAGCGGAAGAAAAAATGTAAAATCAGGACCGTTTGGCGAATGATACCATGTTAGGAAATTGGTTAAGCATGATATTCAAGAAACATTGAATACTTCTCATTCATTCCAGTAAACGGATTACATTGCTTTATAGCAGCTAACAGAAGCTTAGTTCTAGTCTAGAAGCTTTGTAACTACCTTAACTGACTACTAACAGCTCTAACAACTCTTAACTGACCTTAGCTACTTAGCTCTAATAAGTGAGTAAATGGAAAATATTTGAACTTTAATGATTAAAATAAGAGTGAGAAGAAAGTTGAATGAAATTTGTAATTTACCCTTTATTTATTTAAATTTAATAGTAGTCATATAAATATTATATATAATATATATAAAGTAAAACTGGAAAGATAGTATAAAAGCCATTAAAAAGTTACAGGTTTTCGCATTAAAATAATAGGTGAAGACGGAGAGCACAAATGTCTATGATGGAATTGTTAAATCATTGTTGCTAAAGATTTGGAGGTCCGAAGCTAATACAATCTGATCCCCACCTCGACAGGGCAGACGGACGCCGTTTGAATATTTGTCTAACCTTGGTCGGACTTTCAACTCGGTTGGTTGCTCGCGAGATTTTCAAGTCGGGTATGAAATAGTTTGATTCGATTTATTAAGAAGTTGAGTCGAGTTTGAGTTCGAATTCATCCTATTTCAATTGAATCGGATTCAAATAACTTTCTTCTCTTTCACCATTGCCTTCGTTTTAACAAAACCCTAAATTCTCTCATTATTGTGTCATATGTTATTCCTTCTAAATGCTCTATTTAGGTTAAAGGGTCTTCTCCGTTTTTATATATTATTTCTCGCTTGCGGCTTTTATTTGTTTTCATATTCTTCGTTTTCGTGTATTATTGCTTCCAAATACTCAAGTTATGCAGATAAATTATTTTTCATCCGAAACTCAACGTTGATGATCATTTTATAACATTCAATAAATCGAGTGATCGATTCATACTATTTTATACTCGAGGGACCTAACTAAAAAGTTACATATAAGCATGGATTATCTGCATACTTTACCCATATAACAACGTATCATTCATGTACTATAACACATGAATGCCGATTAAATTGACCGTCATCTTACCTCTTTCGGGGAGGGGGGATTTTCATATGCATAAGGTTTGGCAATTATAGCACCTATGATTAAGATCACTTTAGTCTTGTTTAATACTTGCTTTGTTTAACTAACCAAAGCAGCAGACATTCTCTAAAAATCAGAGTCCGCAGGCAGAGGCAGTGGTCCTGTTGTTTGACTCAAACCCAAAGCGTGCTCTTGAAAACCAACCCTAATCTTAATTGCTCAGCACATGTTTATGCTTCTTTTTTGCAGCTGCTTTTGTAATATATGTGGCTTATTCAACTCAGAACTCTGCCGTATACTTTATGCAATCCCTGGAATCATCCGACTAATGATGTTTTGATGATGGTGGTGGTAAAAGTTTAACTGATACTAAATTTTTAAGGTAAAATTAGAGATTCAAATCTTAGTAACATAAATAGTACAAATTGAGTGTGGAGGGTCATCTCGTAAACAAATTGATGTAATATATGATCTAAACTAGTCAATCAATAGACTAGGGTGATAAATAAATGTGGGTTTTGTATGTCATTGAAACTGACCACATTTCATGGGGTCTCAAAATAACCAATTTGCGTGTGTGCATAGGACTATTTCGGGTTCAAGTTGGGATGATTGACTTTATTTTAGCGGTTGTAATTGTAATTGTAGCTGGTGGTGTCATGTGGACAGCTATATGTTCC